CAAAATTGTTGTACAGATTCAATGCAATCCCAATTAAAATACCATTAGTATACCTCACAGATGTAGAGAAAACACTGCTAAAGTTCACCTGGAACCAGAAGAGGCCTAGAATAGCAAAAGCAATCTTGGGAAACAAAGGAAAGTCAGGAGGCATCACAATTCATGACTTAAAATTGTTACAAATCTACTGTGATAAAATCAGGATGGTGCTGGCAAAAAAACATACCTGAAGATCAATGGAATATATTAGAAGATGCAGACACAGCTATAAACACACTCAGCCACCTTATCTTTGACAAAGGGGCCAAACATGTTCAGTGGAAGGAAGATAGCCTCTTTAATAAATGGTGCTGGAAAAACTGGCTTTGCACATGCCAAAGACTAAAACTAGGCCCATGTCTTTCACCACATACTAAATTAAAGTCAAAATGGATCAAAGACCTAAATATTAAAAAAGAAACACTAAATATTTTGGAAGAGAAAGTAGGTAGAAATCTTGACAACACTGGGGTAGGCAGAGAGTTCATGAACAAAAGCCAAACTGCATGGGAAATACTTCAAACAATCAACAACTGGGATCTCATCTTACTGAAAAGTTTTTGCACATCTAAAGAAATCACCAATAAAATAAAAAGAAAACCCACAAATTGGGAAAAAAATTTTAGCCAACTGCCCCTCAGACAAAGGACTTCTATCTAGGACTTATAAAGAATTTAAAAAAAAATTTAAGGCCTCCCAAATATAAAGACTCAATCCAAAAATGGGCATCTGAGATGAATACACACTTCAATAATGAAGAGATACTAATGGCGAATAAATACATGAAACAATGTTCAACATCACTAGTCATTTGAGAAATGCAAATTAAAACAACACTGAGATTCCATCTCACCCCACAAAGAATGGCTATCATCAAGAAATCAACCAATAACAAATGCTGGAGAGATTGTAGGGAGAAAGGAACCCTACTCCACTGCTGTTGGGAGTGTAGACTGGTGAAACCACTATGGAAATCAATTTGGAGAGTCCTCACAAAACTAGGATTGGAAGACCCCTTTAACCCAGCTATTCCCCTTGCGGGCATTTTCCTGGAAGAATTAAAGACATCATACCACAGCGATATATGTGCACCCATGTTTACAGCAGCACAATTTGTTATAGCTAAATCTTGGAAACAACCCTGATGCCCATCCACTGAGGAACAGATAAAAAAGTTGTGGTATTTTTATACAATGGAGTATTACTCAGCTATTAAAAAAGATAAACTCGTGGCTTTTGTAGGTAAATGGATGCAACTGGAGACCATACTCATAAGAGAAATAAATCGGATCCACATGTGTAAACATCATGTTGTCTCCTTGGTGTAAGAACCTGAACGACTAGGTAAAACTCAAAACATACAATAGACAATAGGAAAGGGAAAGAAATTGCTCAAAGGAAGGAACAAATGGGATGAAGGAAACAAGAAAAAAGAAAGACAGAAGGCAAAACATAAATATATATATATGAATAGCTGCAATGACTGTATTGCTGTTGTCTGATGGTGTATTGAAATGAACAGTTAATGCTCACAATTTTTTATGTTCTGATCAACTTTGCATGCTTGTGTCTGGTGGTCTGAGCAACTGGTTTGAAAGTAACAATATGCA